CCCCCCCGTCCCCGCCTCGCCTCCGGGTACCGCTACGAGTCAAGGGCGGGGGCCTGCCTGGAAGTAGGCGGGGCTTGGCGTCCATCTGCCCCGTGCACTAGGGCTCTCCTGAAGTCTCAGTGTGCTGTCTTCCGGGGTCTGAAGTCTCCTGGGACACAGTGGGGAGTTGGGAGAAGGAGGACAGGAGGTGGGAGCTTGACCCGCCCCTCGCTCCCCCCAACACACACACGCACACGCTCTTGCTCACGCCCAGGAGAGCCTGGGTGTGTCTAGGAAGCAGTCTTGGTTTCCTCGTCCCGGCGGGATCTTTTCCAATCCCCCTCACCTCCCCTCCCCTCCCCTCCGCCCTCATTCTGACTCCTTGCGGGCCTAGGTGCAGCCCGGTGACCTTCCTCCGCCCGCACCAGTCACCGGGGCCGGCACAAGAGGAGCACCAGGTGGGTTCATGAAACCTGTGGCCGGCTACCCCCGGTGGGCGGGGTGTCCGTGGCCAGCGGCCACTCCTGAGTGACCTTGGGGAAGTCCCCTGCCCGCACTCCTGAGTCTCAACATGGCCCGGTAGAGCGTGAAGCCAGCGGTTGTCTGCGCGCCAGGGCCTGCGACCTTGGAAAAGGTGGCGGGGAAGCCTTGTTCCAGCGGACCTCCCGGCAGGGGGAGGGCCCACGGTTCAAGCCTGTAACAAAGGAGTCTGCTGTCTGCCTCCGGTTCTCCATTCACTTACTGAGGCACGCGGATTCCAGGGAATGACCCACGTCACTGCCCCTTTCACGGCTGACAACACTGAGGCCGAGAGGCCCCATCCAGAGACAGGCAGTGGAAATGCAGAAAGGATGGCCCACCAACGCTCTACTCAAGTCTGAGCTGGTGGGAGGCATGCCCCGTCCTGCCAGGCTGAAGAGAGATCCCCAGTGGAGTACATGGCGGGTTGCAAGCATTCCTTCACAGATGAGCAGGGTCTTGGCGGGTTTGTGAGTGGCCTGGCACATTGCGGTGGGCAGGCAAGAGGTCTCTGGGCCTTGGGAGGAAGGGCCAAGGGCTGAAGAGTGGCCATAGCCACATGTGGAGAGAGTAAGGTGATCCAGGAGCGTAGGTCCCACCACTCGGCAACAAACAGGGCAGGCAGGCCAGGCCCTGAGCAGGAGGGATCTAATCTTGTGCTGGGTGTCTCTGGGCCAGCCCTTCCCCCTCTCTGGTCCTCAGTTTCCTTATCTGTACCTGTAGCTGAGGGAAGGCAGTGCTGCCTGGGCTCAAGCAGGAAGAGAAGCGCCTTGTTGACTTCCTCCCCAGAGCCTAGATTTCCTGTTCAGCCACATCTAGGGGAATTGGAAGGCTGGGGGCTGGTCTTCCCTCACTCATTCCCCACTCACTGGGTAGCATCACAGCCATTGCCAAGCCTAGTTTTACACCTGATAAATGGGGCAAGACCTGCCCAGCCTCTCTCCCAGCGTTGTTGATAATTTGTAGTGCCCGGTAGTGCCCAAAAGACAGCCTCCACTTGGTCCACCTGCCCTTGGCCCCCCGCAGTACAGCCCAGGGCCCTTACCCAACCCCACCACAGATGTGCACACACCCACCTGCACCTCTCCTACACCCCCTGCACACATACATGACTCCACAGTCACAGGAATATGGTGGTGTGTACACTTACCTGTGTCACACGGACCCATCTGCTATTGAACCCACTGGCAGGGCCTCCATATTGCATAACTTGGGTGGCAGCTCTGTACATGTGCACGTGTGCAGACTCACACACTGCTCCATAGAACGTGCACTGAGAGACCCAGGCATGCAGAGAGGCCAGTGCAGAGTGCATGTGTATTCCCACGTACTTGAGTGCCCTGGGACATAAACACATGCTGATGAACACACAGGTCTCACCCAGGCCCAGCTCAGCCCCAGAGCTATTCTGGGCCAGGCCCGAGGCCAACAAGGTCAGAGGCTGCCAGCTCCCAACAGGCCCCAGTCACTGTGTCACAGGCCTAGGCCAGCCAGCCCCCAACCCCAGCCCAGGCTGAGTCCAAGATGCACTGGATCTCAGCCTGGCTCTGTGACTAGGAGGATCCTCGCTCCCTACCCGCTGCTTCCCCAGAGCTGAACCTTGAGCTCTGGGGTTTCAGGCTCCAGAAGAGAATGTCCACAGTGTCCGCTGGCCCCTGCCAAATGACTCTGCCCACAGCTTCCAACCCAGAGATCCCTGGAGGCTGGACTGGATCCCTACAGGAAACCCAAAGGAGCTAAAAATAATACACAAGGGACAAACAGGATTCTGCAGGCCAGCATTCATGCCACCATGCATGGAGGGAACACTACCTTCCAGGGAAGCCAGGCTGGAGAGCATGGGGGTCCAGAGCTCCACCACCCGAGACCTGAGGGCCCAACTTGGAGTGGGGTGCTGGAATATATGGAGACCCTCATAAGAAGTAGAAACAGTACTGGACAGTGAGCAGAGCTCTGAGTTAGGAGCTGAAAACTGAGTTTGAGGCCCCAGGTCCTGAGTGACTTTAGGTAGGACACAACCCCTCTCTGGGCCTCAATTCTTCACAAGTAAACAGGGGGAGGAATAAAAAGGTGGAAAAGGCTTTAGCTTTCAGGATGGCCCTCTCACTACGGTGTTTAACACTGGAAAACTGGAAACACACAAATATTCGAGAATAAGGAATTGACTGAACCAAGTATAGTTGGGTTTCATAAAATGTAATTTCACACTGCCTTTAACAACAGCGACAGCAATAATCATAACGACTTGCATTTACTGAGGGCTTGTAATGTGCAGGTGCCATGATACTGTAGTTATACCCATTTTACAGATGAGGGATTGAAGCTTGGAGCGGTTCGGTAGCCCACTAAGAGCTCACAGCTGTCAATATGACCATGACCCATAAGTCTCCATTTTCAGATTTAATAACTTCAGAAGTTATAAAGTATAAAACTACAAATTTACAAGAAACATAATTTGAAAGTTTCATTCCTTATATTTTCTTTATGCTAATTTCATCGTGAATTTTGGATAACTTTAATTTTTTTCTGTCAAGTTTTGCCATCTTCAAAGGGCAAAAAAGGAAATTTAAATAATTAAACTTTCAAATGGTGTCTCTTGTAAGTTTGCAGCTTTATACTTCTGAGGTTATTAAAGCTTAAAACTGCACTAAGCCTTTTGGGCCATCTTGTTTTTTTAAGTCAGTTTGACTCCAAAGCCTGCGTGACAGTATTGACACTGTTTGGGGGATGTGGGGATCTAGGATGTTGTATTGGGAAAAAGCTCTGGGAAATAGGTATATGATAAATAGCATACAGTGACATTTTAGCTGTGTTCAACAGCCTGCTGAGAGGTAAAGCCCACCTGGAGCAGAGGCCATATCAGGGGACACTGGGGACACACATGATTGTATTCCCTTTCAGATTTCTTCACTGGGCTTTCCCTCCCTTTTGGATGGAAAGAAGCAATGACACCCTCCCCTCCTGGGCTGAGCTGTCCCATCAAGGAGAGCCAGCTTGTACTCATCACTCCCATAATCGTTAGATCATATAATCCTCCCATCAGCTCTGTGATGAGAGTCTTGCCCTCTGCATTCCACAGATGAGGACATCAAAGCAGAGAGGAGTAATGGTTTACTCAAGGCCAGTGTCAGGCTCACTAACCTCAGCCCAGTCCAGCCAAGGCTTCTCTGACCCCATTGTCCCAAGGGTGACCTCCCTGGCTGGTCAGTGTGGCTTTCGTAACAGATGGCCTGAGGAAATGGTGGGCAGAGAGCTGCAGCAAGTGATTTGGGATTCAGCGAAATTCTTGTTTGCCTGACGAAGGCAAGCCTGGGGAGTGTGGGGTGGCCCAGCCCACCCAGTCCCCAGACTTTGCCACCCACTGTCAAGGGTCTTCTCGATGGACCAGCTGTCCTTTGCCAGTGGTTTTCTCATTTTCCTGCCTGCCCTGTCATCTCCTGGCCCTGACGCCTGTAGGTATCCGCAGCTGGCCCTCTTCTCTCTGCTGCAGCCTGCCTTGGTCCTTGCCCATCTATGGCACCACCAGGCAGGAGCCGCAAAAGACTCTGGATCTACGGGGTCCCCAGTTCTGAGGGCAGGCCCAAGGCCCAAAGCACCCCAGCCTGCACAGGTCTCCACTGGTGCCCTTGGTGATGAGGAATGCAGGGGTCCAACACCTGGGCTGCTTCTCAGATTAATAATAATGGAAGGAAGGAAGGAAAGGAGAGAGGGGGGAGGATGGATCAGAGGAGTCTCCCTATCGCAGGCCTCCCCACCCCTCTTCCAAAGTCCTCCCCAGGTCTCCACAGCTCCTCCGAGCCTCCCTCCCTCAGTCCCTGGGTTGTCAAGGCTCACTCTGAGGTCAGGACCAGAGTGCAGTGTGGGCCAGGTTCAGTGTGAGGTCAGGGTCATGGCTCAGACTGGAGTGAGAGTCAGAGCTCAGGCTGGGGCAGAGGCTGAGGATCAATCAGAAACAGAATATGATCCTCCAGCCCTTCCAGGGGGAGCCCACCCTGTCCTGTGGGGTCACAGATGCTGGCTCCTTCAGGAACCTTCCATCACACCCGCAGCTGGCTACTCTGACCATGCCATCCCCTGTTCCCCCTCTCCCTCCCCCCTGCTCTGGTGTCCAGGGTGACCAGAGCTGCCTCTGGGCAGGAAGCCAGCCCAGAAAGCCCAGGACATCCCCGAGCACCTGTCACCATGGCAACCTGCCTGCCATGCCATTCCCAGCACCCCCAATCTGGGTCCAGTACAGTTTTTCAAATTTAGAACGTCAGAATGGGAAGGGCCTCCTAGATCAGCAGATTCCAGCCCCTCCCTTTTGTCCCAAATGAATAAACTGAGGCCGGAGTGGGGAAGGGAAGGTGGGACCTGTTGTTCAAGGACCTAACCCCAGCCTGTCCTCCCGCCCACCCACTCCCGGCCCTATGTCGGTCTCGGTCGGGTTAGGGGAGTGCGGAGTCTGGAGTGTGATCTCCGGAGAGGGGCGGGCCCTCCACCCAGAGTGGAACCAGACACCGACAATGAATAAATGATGCCCACTCGCAGCCTGCCTGAGACCAGATCGCCACCGCCGAGCGCCGGCTGGCCAGGGGTTTAGTCACCGAGCCAAGGCGGCCCAGCAGGCATCCCTCGGCTCCCCTGACCTGCTGCCGAGCTGCGCGGAGCGCGCGAAGATGGCGGGGCAGCGGCTAGGCGCGGGGCCGCTCTGGGCGCTGGGCGGCGCCGCCCTGGGGGTTTGCCTCGCGGGGGTCGCCGGGCAGCTGGTGGAGGTGAGGCGGGGCGGCGCGGAGGGGCTCGGGGTGGCTGTCACCCTCCAGGCAGAGGGTTGGGGGGCGCCTTTCTGACCAGGAGCTGTTTTTTCCCTTCCTCTTGCCCTAGAGGACCTGACTTAATGGGGAGACACAGCTCTATCCCAAGTGCTTCCAGGCTGTGGAGGTGACCCGGCCCCCAATCTTAGTGTCCTTGGTCGGATGGGAGGGCACAGCCTCTGATTTCAGGAACATCATTCTGATGGGGGAGACTCACCCTGACCTTAGGGATTCCCGGTCTGATTGGAGACACAGCCGGCCATCAGCGAGTGTCTGATGGGGGACACTCAGCCCCTATTCTAATCTTTGGTCTAGTGAGGTTGAAGGTGGTGGGTGGGAGGCAGGAGGGTGAGGACACCCTTCCTAGAGCAGCCATGTGTTGAGTTAGACTCCATGCTGCACACTAGGCCCTGGAGGGGAGGGGCAAGCAGGGCAGGGCCCAAGGACTCAGGGTCTTACTTGGTCCTGGTGATAACTGGGAGCTAGCAAATGTTTCTGAGCGGGCAAGAGTCATGAGTCCTGGTTAGGAAGGAGAATAAATCAGAAGAGGGCACACAGTTGGGAGAACCGTAAGGAGCTGCTAAGATCGCCCAGGAAGAGGTGAAGAGGACGGCTGGGGGGTTGGCCAGGAGCCTGGCTGGGGCCAGGGAGGGAAGGGTGGGGGCCATCTGCAGCCTCCTTGGCTAGCCCCTCCGTACCCCCTTCCTGCCAAGCCAGGAAGGGGGGGCAAAGAGGCTGACCAGACCCAAAATTCTGGAGCATTAGGCTGGAGGGAGAAGGCCCAAGAGGCAGGACAAGGGAGGAGTGGGGTCAGAGCCTTGTAGGCAGTGGCAGAGTGGAGAGAGCAGGGAAGCAGAAGTGTAAGAGACAGCCAAGCACCCAGGAGAGCCCTCAAGGGGCAGGTGCTGGGGGACAAGATGGGAGAGCGAGAACAGGGCACTTGTTCCGTGGGGTCTGAGGGGACACAGCCCTGAACTGGTGGGTCTGAGGTACATGGAGACAGAGCCCTGCACCCCCTGTTCCTGCTGCTGACCAGGGGGTGTGATCAGAAGGCTGGGCTGGAGTCAGATGTCAGCTCTAGTGTCCCTGTAAGGGGAGCCAGGCTGGCTTGAGCCCCATGGAGTGTACTTGGTCCCCTCACCAGCTGCCCTGAGGCCTCAGGCGCAGAAACTGAGCTGGTCTGGGTGTAGGAGAAGCCTGAGCGTGGGGGTCAACTCACTTCTGAGCCAAGGATTCTTCCCTCAGCCCCCAGGAAGACATCTTCTCCCAGCCCATCAAGGGAAACTGCATTTCAAGTCCATCTGCCTGCCATCTGCCTGCCATCTGCCTACAGCCTGAACGAGGGCCTGGCTGAGTCCAGGCGATCCAGGGAAGCACCAGAAAGATGAGCAGGGCTGGGGTCCATGGCACCACCCACCCCACCCACAGGCATCACCCTCCATCAGCCTGTGAGGTTCTGATGGCGGCCAGGCCTCCAAGCTTGAGTTCAGACCCTTAGCAGTGCCCACAAGGAGATGCCCAACTGTTACCTGTTTCCCTCTACCCAAGACCCCTATCAGGGTGTCTTGAACAAAGCTGGAACAAGAATGTGTAAGAAGTGAGCTCTTGGCTGCCCAGGCTCTGAATCTGAGATCTTTACTGTGGCCCTCAGAATCTTCCAGTTATACAACCCAATTGGGCCAACACACTGAGCCTTAGTTTCAGGGAACCCTGCCACTGCCCAGACCTTGGCCCTGACTCTACAGATGGGTGCCCAACCACATGCATGTGTATCCAACCGCACGTGCCCTATACCCACAGTGCCCAGCCCTAACCCCATATGTGTGCCCCAACCCCCCACACATGGGCCAGACCCCACAGACATGTGTCTGAGCCCACAAATGGGTCCAGGCCCCTGGGATGATGCTGAGAAAGGATATCTTGTCAGTTTTACCACTCAGATTGTGTAGAGAGCTTTCCCAGAGACCGCTGGAACCATCCCACTCAAGTTAACAGATGGAGAAACCGAGACCTAGAGAAAAGAAGTCTCCTACCCCAGTTTGCCTTGGTTAAGAGAAAAGAGCCAGGACTCATGTACCACTCTTGGGCACACAGATCCTCTGGGTTACCTGGGACAGGTTGCTGATCCTCTCCACGTGTCCCCAATACATGCTGAAGGGTGGTGCCCATTAGATGAAGTACCTGGCTTTTGGTAGGCGCCCCGTCCATGCTTATGGACCAGACCAAAGACTGGACAGATGGTTGAGCTGCGGGTTGCTTTTCCTTCCCGGAGAGCTGGAAGAGACTCCTCATGTCTGTCCTTATTTGGTTAATCAGGGGACAAGGCACTGCACAGCCGCCCCAGGATCCCCTCTCCCTCCAAGTACTAACCCCCATCCACACCCCTCAGCCAAACTTGGTGACAGAGATGGGGTCATATCCCTCTCAGCCCCACAGGTCATGGATAGGTCTTGCTCCCACCCACCAGAGCAGGGCCATGTCCCCTCAGACTCCCAAGACAGGGTGGGGTCCTACTGGGAAGGTGGGAAGTGGCGCGCTGTGCTCTGCTCACGATTGCTCCAGCCGTGCTTACAGCTTTTGGCCGCCAGGTGTCGCTACTGCATTTCAGACAAATTATCTAGACCCGTTTTGTGAGGATTCTGGCCTAGCCTTCTGGTCAGAGGCGGTGACTCAGGTAGGACAGGTGACTGCTGAGGCCACCTGGTGGGAGTCCTGGTCAAGTAACAGAGTCACGGAGCCCTGACTCCAGTTCCACACCCCACTCCACACTGGAGGTACATGTGAACAAAGTCCCACAGGACAGGACTCGCCTTGCCTCTGGCCTTGGTCCTGAGACCCCGTCTGCCTGTGTGGAGGAGCCCAGGGCTGGAGCAGGAGGAGAGAAGGGCCCTTGAACCTGACTGGGACAAGCCATCCACCTTTGCCCCTTGGGCTTTGGTTTCCTCAAGCATCAACCCTTGCACTCCAAGTTCCCAACTCCATGGTTCTGGGGCTTTACCCTCTTCCCGTTCTAGATCTGGAACTTCCCAAGGTCCGAGGCATTGTTTATGAATGTCTAAGACACTTGATTCTAGGAGATTCTGAAATGTTTGGACTGAGTGAGTGCTTGCTGAGACCTGGGCCTCTCTCGGCCCCGTCCCAGCCCCTGGCCTCTGCCTGGCTCATTCCACTCTCTCCTGACCCACAGCCCAGCACGGCCCCACCCAAGCCCAAGCCGCCCCCGCTGACCAAGGAGACGGTGGTGTTCTGGGATATGCGCCTGTGGCACGTGGTGGGCATCTTCTCGCTCTTCGTGTTGTCCATCAGTGAGTAGCTGCTCCCCCCATCACCGCCCCCTGCCGCTGCCACAACACAGCGGGAGCCCAGCACCGCCTCATCACCCCTCCACCCCCCCCCCCCCCCCCCCCCCCCCCCCCCCCCCCCGACCTCAGATTAGGGCCCTGCCTCTAGGGAAAATTACAGGAAGTTTTTACGGAGAAGGGAGATTTTAAATTTGGAAATTTTGACGCTTTATTTGAGGCTGATTTTTCTTTATAATAACTACATTCACATGTCACCATGGGACTTATTTGGCAGGACACTAACTGCTGGCTTGTACGAATATATTCCCAATTTTTTTTTTTTTTTTGCGGTACGCGGGCCTCTCACTGTTGTGGCCTCTCCCTTTGCAGAGCACAGGCTCCGGACGCGCAGGCTCCGTGGCCGTGGCCCACAGGCCTAGGCACTCCACGGCATGTGGGCCCCCCACCCCCACCCCCGCTCCACCCCCAGGGGCTCAGAGCAGCAATTCCGGGCAGTGCAGGCAGGCCAGGCGCCCACAGGAGGCCCGCTGTGGTTTCTGGCACCTCCTGATCCACACAAAGTCCCTGTGGAGGGCTGACAGGCCGGTGGTGACTTGAAGTATTCTGCCCGACCGGCGATGCAGCCACATGGCAATTATGGTAATTACAGGGGACTCCACTGAACCAGGACGAAGACGTGTCATTTTTCCCTATCGTTGGCCTCCTCATGCTTTTTCTGCAGTTTGGCCAGCTTAAAACACCCACACCCAGGGGCCCCAGCAAGGCCACCCTTGGCTGCAGCTCAGCCCAAAGGCTCCCCAGACACCCAGCAAATGTGGCTCCCAGGCTGCAAACCCTGCATTGTCAAATACCATTTCCCTGGAATGACTCACACCCACCTCAGTCAAAAACAGGAGACCCCTTCCTCTCTCGGACATGGGAGTTGTTTGATGCGAAGTCGCAACAGAAGCCGGTTTGGCATGCTCCCTTCAGTTGTCCTTCCAGAGTTGGGGTCTGGAGTTGGGGAAAAGGGGGCCGAGAAACGCCGACTGGATGGCAGAGGCCGCCTGGGTACAAAGCAGAGTCTGACAGAGGTTCCTACAGGCCAAAGGGAGGAGTGGGGCACAGGCAGTAAAAAGAAGGAAAACACACTCCCCCAGCAAAGGGTTCATGGAGCAGGGGTCCTCCAAGCTGTAGATCGGTAGGATGGATGAGTGGTTTTGTGTTAGGCAGCTGGAAAGGCATTACAGGCAGAGGTACAGTGTGGGCAGAGGTGCAAGGAAATGGCCTCCACATAGGTCTCAGATAACCCCCATAAGATGTTTACTGAGTGCACCCAGGTCAGGGGCTAAAGGAGCATTTAAGTTCTAGCTGGAGCTATCCTGGGGGCAGGGCTGATCACAAGGGCCCATCCAGATGCGGGGGCTCCAGGGGAGACAAGGACCTCTAATTTGCACGTGCTTCTCCTGGCACCAGAAGTGCCCTTCCACGCCCCCATGTCTTCCCGGCTGGAGTGGGAGCAAGAGCCTGCATTTTGCTCCTAGCCAATGATCAGCCAGGCTTCTGAGTGGAGGCACCACAGAAAAACAGCTGTGGCTGCAGCCCCAGCTCACATGCCCAGAGAGGGGAATAACCCCCAGTACCAAGAGGCAGGGTTGGGGGAGGTATCTGCCCTGCAGGGGCCACAGGAGCAATGCAAGGATGAGGGCACCATGGGGCCTCAAGACACACAATGGTTTCTGCAGGGCTCTGCTTGGCCCTAGATGGTAGAAGTACCTGGGGCCACATAGGAAAGTTGCAGTGTCAGGCCCAAAAAGGCACTTGGGCCGCAACCACAGACAGACTTCCACTCCTAAACCCATTTCCTAGAGAAAGGTAAGGGGTAGTCCCAAAGGCCTCTGAGCAACAGGTTAGCATTTGTTACCCTCTATGCAGGGCTCTAGGGAGTAGGGAACGCCATCTCCTGGGGAGGAAACATCTTTCCCGCTTCCCTGTCTGCTTGGGCCTAGGTGGTACAGCTGTTTGTGGAGCAGCACCCCCAGAACCTTGTGGAGAGAGCTGGAGTTTGATGGGGTACCTCTTCGGGGTCCCCTCCAGCCTGGGGACTCCCATCCCAAGCCCCTGCCTGGGCCTGCAACTAGATCCAAGGAACTCTGTTTCTCTCCTCTTTGAAGAGAAGCAAACAGGCCAGGCTGGGTGGGGCAGGCCTGGAGTGAGGGGCGGTGCTTGAGCCCTGCTCTGACTGCCAATAGCTGTGGCTGAGCTCCCTTTAAAGCCCAGGCCCCCAGCCTTTGCAGAGAGCATGGGCATGGTCCTGTGGAGGCACCTGGTGGGGTAGCTGGAAGAGGTGGTCCAAGCCAGTAGGGTGGAGGTCCAACCTTGGACCTCTGGCATACAGGGGTCTGGAGAGGACCGGAACCCAGGTTTTTGGGTAAGAAAGGCAGACCTACTGCTGGGACCCTTGCACAACTAACCCCCCACCATGTGTTCCTGGATGCTGTTGACACCCCATCCATTTATTCAAGAGTCCAGTCCTGTCCTCAGCCACAAAGGCTTTGAAACCATCTCATTCATTTGTTTTCTTTCATTCTGTGAGTCTGGGGGAGACTCAGTGGGACCACAACATTGGCTGAAGGGGTTGCACAAGACGACCCCAAGGGGTGCTCCAGCCCAGGCCACATGGGTCTGATCTATCTTCCCCAAAATAGGCCTGACTTGTTCTGCCTGGCCCTCCTGCCCCTAGGAGTCTGTCAGGAAGTTATGTCTGGTCATCTGATTTATAATAGGAAGCAGCTCCATCCCCTCCCCTGAGGCTGGGGCCAAGGTGGTCAGACTGTAGGGGCCTTAGAAAAATAAACTCAGTCCAGCTGGGTCCTGGCAGCCCTGCCCTGCCCATCCCTAGACAGGCCAGCTCCATGCCCTGGCCAGCTTGCGTGGGCACAGCTGCCCTGAGCCAGAAAACCACTCCTGGAATAACTCCGTCTGAGGTGAACGCGCTGGGGCAAGGTCTGTGCCCTCTTTCACGCTCTCACAGCCAGGAGCAGCCCTGGCTTGTCCTCAGGGAGGTTGAGGAGGGTGCAGCCATGTCCTCCAGGGTCTGAGGTGCTCTCAGGAGCCTGGGGAGGAAAAACTAGGATGCACAGGAGCCCAGAGGCCTGGGTTAGAAGCACAGGACACCCTCCAGGAGGCTGTAGCTTGAGTCGTGGTCCAGCCCACTGCCTGCCCTCCAGGACCTCTCAGTCCAGTCAGAAAGACCCACCAGAACCAAGACTGGTAACACAATATACGGGGCCAGTGCAAAATGAAATTGTGAGCCCCTCTGTTCAAAAATCATTAAGAATTTCAAGGAAGTGACAGCAGAATAACAAACCAAGCACAAGGCCCTCCTGAAAGTGGGCCTACTATATGAAGCCAGCCCGGCTCAGGAAAGGTATTTTGAAAATCCCAGAGCCCACAGGGGTTTTGTCAAAATGTGGAGCCTCCTGAGAGGGCCTCCTGGGTGGGACACACATAGGTAGATGGAGACAGGCCTGAAATTTGGGCACCATTCCTGGGGTGTCTGAGCTCTGGCCCTTGCCAAGCCTGCTCTGTCCTCCCCGTAGTTATCACTCTTTGCTGTGTCTTCAACTGCCGCGTGCCACGGACCCGGAAGGAGATTGAAGCCCGGTACCTACAGCGAAAGGCAGCCAAGATGTACACGGACAAACTAGAGACTGTGCCTCCCCTCAACGAGCTCACGGAAATCCCTGGAGGTGAGCAGTCCTGGCCCCCAGCCCCGCCACCCTCCGACTCTGCCACACTGGCCAGTTCCTCGGTCCTGCCACCCAGAGTTGCCCTATTCCTCCCCTCCACCTGGTTCAGGGAGGGGACCCAGCCCTGTTTTTGGAGACCAGAGCAAAGAAATGGGTCCGAGTGAGGCAGGGAAAACAAGGAGCTGTTCTGCAGGTAGGAGAGCTTTGGAAGGAAGAAGGAATGAAGGGCTGGACTGGGAGGCTCTGGTGCAGGCCCTGGGACGCTGCCTCACTCCTGTTGCCCCCTTCCCTCTGCTCCGCAGATGACAAGAAGAGGAAGAAGGACAGTGTGGATACAGTGGCCGTCAAGGTGGAGGAGGATGAGAAGAATGAGGCCAAGAAGAGAGAAGACAAATGAAGAGAGCTTCCTGGAGGCGGAGGCTGGGGCTAGCTGGCCCTGGGGCTCATAGTCCTGGCCAGAGTCCAGACATCTTAAACTCCAAGCTCATACATGGAGCATAGAGGTTGCAGAACACCCTCTCCCTGCTCAGAGGGGGTTGCTGAGGCCCAGGCCCCTGTCCTAGAGCCTACTGGGGCAAGGATATGCCTGTACTAGGTGTGCTGCCTCCCAGCCTGGACTCCACTCCTGTCACCCCCTCCACGTGGCCACTCAGCAGAGGTGGTCTTGGGCCACTGTCCCTCTGTAGATCCAAAGTGGCCTCTACCCACCCATACATGCCTCTGTCCCCTCTTCTGCCAGGCACAGCAGCAGCTAAAGGGGTAATGGGATGTGGGTTTCCTTTTGGAAGGGGAGGGTTGACCCGGATGGGCTAGATGTGAGGTCACACCAGGCTGGCCATGAGGAGGGAGAGGGTCACTGGGGGAAGCAGGGGCAGCAGAAGGTTCTCGGACTCAGCTGGATAGCAGCTCTGGTGGTGAGGGGGCTGCCCCAAGCCTGGCAGGGGTTCTGGCCCAGGGCAGTGAGCAGAGGGAGACCAGAAGCAGGACCCCCAGCATAGCAGATACCGAGCTCTAAGCAATGGGTACACTTGTCTTACACGCTGTGATGCAGCTGAGGCTGCTGGAGGGCCTAGCACGAGGCCCATGGGCTCAGGGCTAGGGGCTGCAGGGGTGCAGAAGGTTGAGGCCAGTGGGCCAGAGAGAGAAGGGCCCCATCTTGGGAATCCAGGGAAAATTTGAGAAGCCAAGGGGGACTCTGGGTTTTTCTGCTGGCCCTTTCTAGGCTCAGCTGTGGTAGCAGGTGTCAGCGCCCCAGGAGATCACCGCAGGGGGCTGTTAGGGATTGAGGCAGGAACCAGCCTTCCCCGTGCTGAATATAACAGCACAGAGCTTCCTCTTCCATTCTTAACAACGGTGCCTAAAAGAAGCACTGCTAGCCAGAAGGTGAAGGCTCAAACTTGACCTGGGGACTGAATCCTTGGGGAGGGGAGATGCAGAGAGGGGTTTCTAGATGGCAGCGAACATCAACTGAGGTACTCAGACCTGGGCCTGGAGACTAAGGAGACACCGGAGATTTCCGAGCCAGGGGGAGCTGCTGGCAAAGCTCACGCTGCCTCTGCAGCCTGCAGAGATTTGTAAATAAAGCTGAGTGCCTTCTCATATCCGAGTGACCTGAGATGACCCCTCAGGATGCCCCATCCCTGGAGCATTTACGTGGAGGGTGATGCAGTGATCAATGATAGGTGGTGTAGGCCAGGCTGACGTTCCCTCTCCTGACTTTTCTCCCAGCCTGAATTCAGATGAGCTGGAGGGAGAGGTGGTGGCCAAGAGGCAGAGGGTCAGCTGCAGCCAGTGGGGCCTAGCCCTGAGGCAGGGCAGCAGGACCAGGGAGGAAGCCGCCTGCTCTCCACTTGCCTCTGCTCCACACCCTGGGTTTCAATAAGTGGGTGCTTGGGACACAGAGGAGTCAAACCTGGATTCTGACCTGGACCTGGACCATTATTACACAAGAAGAGGGAACCAGGCTGGCATGGGGGAAGGAGCATGGGGTCTTACAGCCATGAGGGAGCAGAGAGATTACAGAAGGCCCTGCTGTGGAAGCTGAGTGCTCACTGCGCCACCAAGTGGGAACCCTGACTGCCCTTGGGCTCCAGCCTATGGGCTTCTCATACATATGGCTGTGGCAAAGATCATTCTACTCATACAAGCCAGAGCCCTCCTGTTGGCTGGGCAGCAGAAGCCCAGAGGAGCAGGGGCCACTATAAGTCAGAGAAGCAGCTGGTAATGCCTGGGGTAAGTCCAGGCCCGGGGTACATCTGCCCTGCCAGATGCCTCCCTGACCTCTGACCTGGGCCTCCACTAGCCCTTTATGGACAGGCATGTCTGATGATGGTGGGGATAATATCTGATCCCAGGGGGCATCTGCCCCAGTCTCCAGACAGGGGACAGGGCTGGAAGGTCAAAGTCCACTACAGTGCTTCAGGGCAAAAACAGGGTATGTTCTAGCCACCGGCCAGAAGGTGGGCCAAAGTCAAGGAGAACACACTTACCTCCCTGGCCCAGACAGAGCTGCACCTTTATGCCCAGCCTCACATTGTGTCCTGGCAGCTCCAGCTTCAGCCTGACCCTCCATCATCTGACCCTAGTATCCAGGCCCTCCATCATCGGACCCCAATATCATCCCTACACACTCCCTCCACCTTCTGTGGGAGCCACCCTGAACCTTTGGATGGAGGCGGATCCTGGGGCTCTGTACTTTTCAGTATAAACTGCCCGGAGTCACCCATCCCACCCCTGTCTGGTTCTCTCATCTCCCACTGGAGCAGGCCCAGGAAGGAGGAAGCATGGGGAAGAGAAACATTTAATTGAACACCTAGTCTCTGCCCTGCCTTGCGGGGCTGTGAGAGCTGCACCCGTAGCATTCTAGGCACAGAGGGTGAGGAGGGGCCCGGGCAAGGGAGGGTGCACCCAGAGACAACGGCACGAGTGTCAGAGGACAGCGAGGAGGTTGAGGGGCAGCAGGAGTGCCAGGAGCAGGGCCCTGGATGGGGCTGGCAGAGTCTGCCCATTGAGGCGTTCCCACTGCTGGCAGGAGGAGATGTGTAGGTAGATGGGCAGGGCCTTGCTCTTCTTGCAGCCTGGGCCCCAGATCACCATTCCCACCAGGTACCATATGCTCTCCACAAGACAGGCCAAGGGCTCACCACTTATCTCTTGTGGGGAGGGGTGGGGGAAACAAAAAAAGGAGGCCAGATGTGGTCCAAGGGAGACTTAATCCAGCTCAGGAAGAAGCAGGGTGCCCTCACATCAGACCTTCCCTGCAGCCCCCGAGTGTCACATACCTGAGGGGTGCCCTTGAGGTCCTGACCCAGGAGACCTTCCTCAAAGGGCTCCACCTCCCATCTCTCTCTTGCCAGTTCTCCATCCCCCATCTCTTTAACACCCACCCTCCATCTTCCCACTACCTCCCATTCTCCCTCATCTCCAACCTCCATCCATCCCCTCTCCCCATCTCCCTCACCCCAGCCTTCATCACTTTCCTCCCAATCTCCGTTCCTCATCAAATCTCCGTTCCTCATCAAATCTCCCCTCCCACATCTTCCTATCTTCCCCCTCAGTCAGCCCTGCTCATCCCCATCCCCTTCCCCACCTCCCCGCCTGTGCCCCCAGCCCCATTCCTGGCCAGGTGCCCTTGGAGGCAAGTGAGCAAGGGGGAGAGGTGCTCACATAGCAAAACTGCTCCTGTTGACGTCCTTTGCAGAAATCATCTGGGAGCTGATGATCTGAATCAGAGGGGATTTTGGAGAACCTGTGGTAGAGGCTTTCACACTCCGTGCTGTTCAGGATAGTGACTTCCTTCTCCTGGATGGTCCTGAACTGGGGCCACACACCTGTGGGACAGGGGCCCCATTCAGGCTTGGCGGTTTCGCTCCTGCCCACGGCTGCCCGCTTTGTGTCCATCCTCCCTTTGTTCTTCGCCACTCCTCCAGTCTCTTCTCCTTGCCTCACAGCAGCTCTGGAGATCTCTCCAGGCATAGGCCACCCACCACTCCAGCTGATGCTTCCCAAGGGCCCCTTGACATAGAGACCTTGGGAGCAGGCTACCCATGATCTGGCCTTGTTGGACCTGGTCTCACATCCTGCAGAGTACTATCCATTGAGTCCATTCTGATCTCAGCATCTTGGCTCTTGTGTTCCTTCTATCCCCAAAGCCTACCAGGCCCATCTAAGGTCCAAATCCTGCCTTTTCTTCAAGCTTTCCCCAAAGGCCTCTTCCTTCCCTAAGCTTCCCTAGACTCCCCTCCGTGGGTCTCAGGCACTCTTTACTCCCCTCCCCGCTCTCTCAGTTGTATCCCTGTCCCTAGTCTGAGCTCCTAGGGGAGAGATGACTTCCAACCATTCCCAGCCATTCCTCAGATAGGCCATGGAAGGCATGACAAAAAGCCACCCCACCCTAGGCTGGAGACCCTGTGGGTGCTTTCAGGCAAGCTGGCTCTATGAGGCCACAGGGAAGGGCGCCTCTCTTGTGGGAAAAGAATAGGGGTTCCCTGAAGGAAATGAACATTCCTGGGGCTCATAAGGAAATGGTCCCTTGGACGGCCCTGGGACAACACTCCTGCCCTTTGGGCTCCTAAATTGGGATGATGAGGGATTGAGGGCCACTCCTGGGGGAGGGAGCCATGAGTGGACCCTCAGTGACTCCCACCTTCTGGGTGCTGACTGCCCTTAGCCAGCCACATGGGATCTTCTGGGGAGCCTTTTACAGACACAGAACCCTGCTCCTCTCACCTTGGCTGTTCTGCTTCAAGACATAGATGCCCTGGGATTGTGTGCAGACAGCAAGATACTACTCGGTGCCCCCTCTACCTTCAAGGAAGTCCTATTTACAACCCCGGCCTGGGCCTGAGGGTTCAAGGGCAATCTGGGTCCCCTAAGACCTAAATGGCCATGATACATTCACTGCTGAGACCCTCAAAGGGAAAGG